GCTATTTTTTGGTTGCAGCCATTATTGTTTGGCAGCCGGGCTGGATTCGAACCCGCCACCTTAGGTGTATGTGGCTGGCACCTTAGCCGCTTGAGCCACAGGCGCCAAGCCGGCACAAGAGTTTTTATTGTGTTACTGCATAAGTCAGCATAATGGTTGGTCCTTTGAGAGCACATACAAGATTTTGATCTTGACTTACATTGTTGGCTAGAGTGCTAACATTTTTGCTATCACAGATAATGTATACCTTGTTTTGGGGTGGTGCCTGTGGCTCAAGGAGTAGGGTGCTGGCCTCATATACAGGAGGTGGTGGGTTCAAACCTGGCCTCAGCCAAAAAAACTGGAAAAAAAAATTGTGTACCTTGTTTTGATGCTCCCTTGTAATTGGGCATAGGGGTAATAGCCAATGTTGCTACTATAAAGCACATAAAAAATGTTATTGCCTAATGTGGGACTCTGGAAAAGAACTTGGAGCCCTAAGAAATTGACCTGTGTGAATAGTTCACGTTGGGTCAGAGCCAGTGCTTCTGTTCCATTCACAGATCCTTAGCTGGGAGCTAAGGGTAGAAGGATAGAAAGGCTGCCAGAGTTCCTCTGCTTTGGGGTCTAGAGGGAAGGAGAAGCTGGAAACATGGCAGACAGTAGTAAGGAGAGGCAGATACCACACGCAAGATGACACAGGATGTATGTTGTACTTGACAGGCACAGGAGAAACCTACTTGTTTCCCCTCCTCTTAATTTCATTTCTTCCTCATAGGGATTTCAAGGATTTGGATTTGGAGATGGTGGCTTTCAGATGTCTTTTGGAATTGGGGCATTTCCCTTTGGGATATTTGCCACAGCATTTAACATAAACGATGGGCGGCCTCCTCCAGGTAAGGCCCTATTTCCTTGAGAAATCAGGAAGATATTTTAGTAATTCTGCTTGAAAGCTTGTAATTCATCAGAATATAAGTTACAGGTAATTGTCACTACTGGGATTATCAGCCTTTTCATATATATATTTACATATATAAGATATATATAGATAGATATATAGATATTTCTTTTTTTTTTTTTTTTTGAGACAGTCTCACTCTGTTGCCTCAGGCTGCAGTGTTATGTCATCAGTCTAGCTCACCTCAAACTCCTGCATTCAAGTGATTATCCTGCCTCAGCCTCCCCAGTAACTGTGGGACTACAGGTGCCCATTATAATGCCTGGCTAGGTTTTCTATTTTTAATAGAAATAGGGTCTTGCTCTTGCTCAGGCTGGTCTCAAACGCATGAGCTCAAGTAATCCTCCCAGTGTTAGGATTACAGGTGTGAGCCACCATGCCTGGTACAAAATATCTTAAACTATATGGGGCCGGCAACCTACTCCTTGAGCCACAGGCACCACCCCATCTTAAACTGTTTTTAGGTCACTGAGACTTAACAAGTATTAGACACATACGGAACGCTTTCTATTACAAACTCAGGGGATCATCACAACCCTATAGAAAAGGTATGTGATTAGCCCCATTTTACAGATCAGAAAATGCTTAGTAATATTTACCAAGACATACCTCATGTCTATGAAATAAAAACTATAAACTATGTCTAGCTGAGAAAAAGCCTGATTCTGTGCATGTACCCCCACCTTAGACCATATTGAGTCACGGAAGGGCAAGGCATCCCACAAGGAGTCAGGACATCTCTGTTTTCTGGCATCTCTATCTAGCTTCCTTCAAGACATGCATAAGGCTGGTCCCAAGCCTCAGGTCTTAGGGAACTATGCCTAAGTCTGCCACCTGCTTTTGTGTTTCTCCCTCTACCTGCCTTAGAGTGTCAGCTGTATTCACTGTAGAGCAATGCAATAAGGTGAGTGCCCTATACTCATTGACAGTCTGACACCTGAACCAGGATCCTTACAATGGAGCCTCCACAGAAGCCATGATCATTTGAGCTCTGCTTATGCTCATTGGAACCTGGACACTGGGCACGGTATAGGGTACAGAAGTGAATAGTCCCTGATTCTGTCCAGGAAATTATACCTAGAGACAGTAACCCAGTCCTGGATCATCCCAATTGTACCCTTCCCCACCCTGACCCTTGGCACATAGCAGGTAATCTATTGTCTTTATTGTCTGCCTGCCTGAATCAATTAGAGCACCCACTGAGAATATGAACAATAAGAGATCTTGGGAATGCCTTTCTTTCCTTGCCTACCTCAAAAGTTTCTCCTTTGTTCACATGTTGTTTTCTTAGAGGTAGAAGACCCCAAAGGGCAGGGCGTACTCTTTCCTCAAGGAAGGACAGATCCAGCTGGGCACCCATAGCTCATGAGTAGGGCGCCAGCCACACACAATAAGCCCGGTGGGTTCGAGCCCCACCCAGGCCTGCTAAACAACAATAACAACTGCAAACAAATAGTCCCAGCTACTTGGGAGGCTGAGGCAAGAGAATCACTTCAGCCCAAGAGTTTGAGGTTGCTATGATCTGTGACGCCACAGCATTCTAGGGAGGGGGACATAGTGAGACTCTGTCTCAAAAAAAAAAAAAAAGGACAGATCCCTGTGAAGATAGCAGGAACCTGCTTGGTAGGTTCCTCCTTCTAACCTAGTCCAGGGCTCACTCACCCTAAATTCCCCAGTTAAGCAGAGTTCTATAGCTAAGCGAGACTCTGAATCGCTTTATCCCCCACCACAATCACCATTTTCCCTTGACATGTTTGCTACAATTTGCCCATCCTGGATGTAGATTCTCTTATACTCCCTCCCCCAAAGTCAGGACAGAGAACTCTAAATTGCAGCTTTTTTCAAAGCAGAGAGAAGTAGAGACCTGGATTCTCACCCCATTTCTGCCTCTACCTTGGTATACCTTGTATACCTGTCTGGGGTAGGCTAGAGAACACGATTATAGAGCTTGCCACTAACTCACGAGCCATGAGATCTTGGGCACATCATACTTGTGCTTTAGCTGCTGCTTAATATCCACCAAGTAATAACATGTGTAAAACACTTAACTTACAGAAGATGTGTAACAATCAGCTTTTCTTTTACTATTTCCTCCAACAGTTTCCTCTTAGTCAATTGGTTTATTTGCACATGTGGGCTAAACCTTTTCATGATAAATTGGAAACCCAGCCTCATTGTTATATTGTTCAACATGTATTTTTTGTCTTCCCTGATATTATTTGGGGTTCGGAAATCTTTTTTAGTGTCCAGGATTCTGTTGTCATAGAAAACAGATAAGGTCTAAGGCTCTCAAATTCTGGGCTGAATGGATACTCTGCCCAGCTGTAGGATTCTCACAGCCTTTCTTCTTCCTGTCTCTCCAGCTGTTCCTGGGACACCCCAGTATGTGGACGAACAGTTCTTGTCACGCCTCTTCCTGTTTGTGGCCCTGGTGATCATGTTCTGGCTCCTTATTGCCTAATCCTGGGTCTCTGCCTGCACCTATGGCAGGGCCTCTAGACTGGTGACATGCCACCCCCACTCCTGGTGTTTGGCTTCCTGGATAATCCTGACCTCTGGAACGAGTGGGATCAATAATACATCAAGGAGTCTTCTCCATCAGAGCTTTGGAACTCAAGACCAGATGACAAGGACCCCATTGTCAACCACTGCTGTAAACACCCTACTGTAACTTCAAGCCTTGGCATTGAGTCCTCTCTCATGGATGACGGCATGAAATCTTATTGTAGCCAGCTCGGCAGGCAACTCTGCACGCAGCTCTGCACAGGGAAGAGATGGAAATAGAGAAACTGCCAGAGTACAATTTCATCTGAGTTTAATAGTACAAAAACAAAAAGATGAGCCAAATGGTATTTGGAAACTTTCTTTCATCTCTTTTAATACCCCTTGATAAGTTGCCTCCAAAGCCAGTGGGGGCTCCTTATACAGTGATGTTCCCCTTCCAAACTCCCCCTCTTTTTCCTCAGCAGAGATGCAAGAGATGCAAGAACTTACTATCCCATAAAGATCATAACTGCAGCCTCTAAAGCTGGAGTCATATAAATTCAACAGAGAACCAAAGATCCCTTAATGGCTCTGAGCCATGCTGCTCAGTGTTTTTGGCCCCAGAGAGCAGCTTGAATGTCCTCCTAGTTTCCTGGCATAGATTATCCTTGGTAAGACGTGGCTTCACTCTCAGGTTTCCCATCAGCTTTCCCTATAAAACTATGTGCACCTGTGTGTCTCTGCCAGCAAGCAAACCGCCTAGACTACTGCTAAAGCCAGGACTGAGTGCTACACATTAGGAAAGGTCTGGAGCCAGGACTGAGTGCTACACATTAGGAAAGGTCTGGAGTCAGGTTTTGGTGGGATTCAGAGCTCTGATGCAGGGACTGCAGAGGCTCAAGTGCATCTTCTCCCAGAACCCACCCAGAGGAAACTGGGGACTTTCTCAGGTCAGCACAGCTGCATAGTGAAGACCTCCATCCTCAGAAGCCAAATTGTCTTTTGTGAAGTGGTAGGGGAAAGGGAGGCCTACTCATACCCTTGTTTTTGGTATGACTTGATGGATTCCCCTGAAACTCCTTTTACATGTGCTAAAACCAGGCATGCATGGGACTCCCATACAAACCCCATATGATTTGTAAAACCATGTAGCAAGCGGCTTAGGGAGTCCCAGCATAACGGTCCATGATCTTCCTTTCTGTGGAATCCAGAGGAAATTATTCGTCCCAAGTCCTTGATTTGTTTTTCAATTTTATAGGCCCCTTTCTCTGAATCTTATCAAAGGAGTGTAGTGCCAGGCAGATAGGACAGTTCATCTGGTGGAATGGTTCTTGCTCTGCCTGCCAGTCCTCATCCAACCTCCTGGAGATCCTAAAGGTGGGAGGAGATGACTTCCTCTGAGACACTGGTCCTGGCTAATCCCCAGCAATAGCCAACAAATGTTAAGAAGCCCTCCCTAGTGCTTTTTCCCAGATAATGGCTTTGCATACTTTGCAGCAACAAAGACGTTGAGGAAGATGAAGGAAACTCTCCTCTCTCTACAACCCCCATCCTATTTCCTTTGCACCTATCTATACCAGAGTTCAGTGTTTAAACAAAGTATAAAGTATTGAATAGGAGGTTCGTTTGCCGAATCCACTGATAGGAATAAGCCATCAGCTGTACAGTGTGCCTGATGGGTTTTAAACAGTCTTGGGCACCCACTCAAGAGTGCTCTTTTTATCACCTTGTGGAAATCCCCAAAGTCAGATTGGCCCCTGGAGTTTCTTTGCCCTAGAGAAAAGTAATGGGATTCCCTCAGTACAGTGGCCCCTACTATTAGAAGAGAGGACTTCACTCAAATGCGCCCAGCAGAAATATGTTTCCAGAAGAAAGATTAAAGAACTGTGGGTAGGAAGATGAATCATTTGGACTCTGCCACAAAATGACATGAGCCCAGGAGAGCTCCACCAACAAAGGCATCCTTGAAACCTGTTAGCAAAACCAGGATGGCCATATGCCCTTTGATTTTCAAACCTTTTAGGCCTCCACTAACCTGCGAATTACTGGGGCAGAAAAGCCGACTTGGGACTGCTGACTTGCGCCCCTGGTCCCACCCCTAGGCAGGTTCACCACAAATCGCTCTGCCAAGACAACTTTCCTTTCTTTTGTGTGTGTTCTCAGCCTCTACCCTCCTTATGCCACCCTTGTGGACTTGAACCAGGTCCTGACCACAGTCAGAAAATAATATGTACAATGGCACACCTTAACTAGTCACTAATTTTCACTGTTGTGAAAGTGATTTGATTTAGGATTAAACAAATGGTTTTACATTACTGTGAGCTTGGACTTCTTGTCTGTGCCACGGACAATGAACAGGTGGGGAGAAGTCACACTGGTCTGGTTTCTGGGAAGCAACTGTGACTTCTTGGTAATGTCTCACTGAGGATGAAAGTCTTCAAACAGCCATCAGTAATTAAAGATGAGAAGTATAGGCTGGAGCCCTAGCTTCATACTGTAGCCCTGCCCAAGGTGTAACCTGTTCAACAGGCAGCAGTCCTGATCACCAACCAGTCCTGATAGGTGCATAGAATTCCTAAGCTTGTCAGTGAAAAGCTGCCATAATGGAGCTTAGCTTATAGCCCATCAGAGACTTTAGGATAATCAGTTACTCATTGTTAGCCTCTCCATATGTTCAGTGATAAGGCAATGGGCCCTGATCTAAGTCCTTTCCCCGGAGCAGAAGATGTGCCCCTCATCGAGCAGGGTGTGATATAAGGTGAAATGTTGGTGAGGTTACTAATCTGGCCCTGCCTAGGCTCCCCAACAAATCAGAGCTATAGGTCATTCCTCTGAAAAGAGTTCTTTTCTTCCTCTTAGACTTTGACTTAACAGTTAAGTTGAATACTGTCAAGATAGAATGGGAATGCAAAGGTTAGGGAGCTTCAGGAACCCATAAGCCCAAGGGGAAATGAACAGTGTTTCTGTTTTCAAGGAAAACAAAACAGTAATAGGACAATTGGGCCTCCACATATCAATCACCCAACCCCAGTAACCAGGCATCAACTCAGCTGGAATGATGTCTCTTGATTACAGCATCTCTATAGATAGCTTCCTTTTACATTTCAACTTGTTTTTTTGTTTTTTTTGTTTTTTTTCCGAGACAGAGCCTCAAGCTGTCCCCCTGGGTAGAGTGCCGTGGCATTACAGCTCACAGCAACCTCCAACTCCTGGGCTCAAGCGAGTCTCCTGCCTCTGCCTCCCAAGTAGCTGGGACCACAGGTGCCTGCCACAGCACCTGGCTATTTTTTGGTTGTAGCCATCGTTGTTTGGCGGGTCCGGGCTGGGGATTTGAACCTGCCACCTTAGGTGTACGTGGCTGGAGCCTTAGCCGGTTGAGCTATAGGCGCCGAGCCTACATTTCAACTTGTGTTTCTCAGAGTCACCTGAACTTCCTTGGGAGGAATGTGGGTGAGTTGGCTATATCCTCACTCCTAGTGAAGATCATGAGGTTAGAGATAGGACAGAAGTGGAATATGAGAGCGAGTGTGCAGGGAGAAGAGACAGACCTAGGTGCTTTATTGTAGGACAGATACAGTCAATGATTTCCTCAGAAACTATAAAACTGGGTGGCACCTGTGGCTCAGTGAGTAGGGTGCCGGCCCCATATACTGAGGGGTGGCAAGTTCAAACCCACCTCCGGCCAAACTGCAAAAAAAAGAAATAGCCAGGTGTTGTGGCCAGTGCCTATGGTCCCAGCCATTTGGGAGGCTAAGGCAAAAGAATCGCCTAAGCTCAAGAGCTGGAGGTTGCTGTGAGCTGTGACGCCACAGCATTCTACCCAGTGTGACAAAGTGAGACTAAAAGATGAAAAAACTATAAAACTGGCTACTGAAAAGGTTCTCAGTAATTAGCAGAATCAGGCATAGCCGTCTTCTGCAACTCTTTGTGCCATTCAGGCTATCAGGGACCACCTGCCACACCCAGAGGAGAAAAATCTGATGGGCAAGATGAAAGAGAATTGTACTCACCTTTGCTTACCTAACTCCTTTGACCAAAGGCAGCGGGATTGAACTTTGTTCCTGGTTGGGGGGTAGGTTCCATTTCCCTGGGCCCCATTCCTACCTCTTCCTGGTCATTTGGACGTTTTTCCCAAGATATAAATATGATCTAGGAAAATGACAGTTACCAAAGGCTTAGCATAAGAGAGTCATCAGGGACTACCTCATGTGGCTGAGCCTTCATCACAGAGGACACCAGTCTCCTGCCAAACCCAGTGAGAGGAAGTGGTTCTCAAAGCTACTCAGCCACCTAGCAGCTGCCACAACCCAGTCTGCTATCCTAACCTCTTCCTGTAGTGATAGCTCCTCATAAAAGATTCTAGATCAGTGGTTCTCAACTTTCCTAATGCTGTGAGCCTTTAATATAGTTCCTGTGGGTTGCGACCCATGGGCTGAGAACCGCTGTTCTAGATTGGCAGCCTGCAAAGCAAATCTAGTCCACAAGTGTGTTTCATTTGGCCTTCATGTCATTCAGAAAACTTTTAGAAAGCTACAAACACTTTAAAAAGTGGAAAATGTCACCTGAACATCTGGATTTTGGGCTTGTTTTGAAAAATTGGAAGATAGATTATTTACTCCTTAAAAAATAACTAATGAGATAAAATAAAACTCTCTTAACCTTAAAATAAAAAGAAAGAAAAAGAAAAATTGGAAGATGGGACTAGCAAGCCAGTGTTCCAGCAAGGGACTGCTCCTCTTCCAATGAGGCATACGTGCTCCAGCATGATGTGTTCATTTATATACCTACTTGGCCTTGATAAGGATCAGGCCAAGAATGCTGGTTGAGCCATCTTGGTTCCATTTTTGCCCTAAAGGTTATCTTCTGGTAGCTTAGTTATATTAGGTGCAGAGAAGTGGTTTCTCTGTGATAAAAGCTTCTAAGAAAAATCCACTCTCAACTCCCCAAAACTGTTTGTATTGTAACTTTTTTTTTTTTTTAACAGTTTTTGGCCAGGGCTGGGTTTGAACCCGCCACCTCTGGCATATGGGGCCAGCACCCTACTCCTTTGAGCCACAGGCGCTGCCCCCCAAAAC